TTAATACTAATTTCATTTGAATGGTAACAACTCTACAGCTTCTTATTATTCTAACTGAATTAATTGAAACAAAGTAAGAATTTGATGTGAAAAATGACACATTTTAATAAGGTTAGGGGAAACAAATGACCATTTATAAACATGGTGGGAAATGACATCTGTTTTGTTACATACAACAACTCATTTTAAGTTAACTATTTCTTCCTCTTTCCAGTCACAGAGCACTTTATTTTGCGGCCAAGAAAATTGCAATCGGTGCATCTCTAGATATTATTTTTTCAAAAATTAAACTTTTAAATTTGTTTTAATTTCCATTAATTATTTTAAGCATTGTCACTCTACTAATTTAAAAACGTCTCATTCCATAATATCACTTACATTTCTCATGTCATTCTTTATTTCTCATAGTCTTATCTTTTCTATGCCTAATTTATGTGAAAAGATGCAATTTCGGTAAGTCAAATTTAGTTCAGTTTCGTGCATACTTTACTGTTTGAAATTTGAATGTTTATCTGCAGTACTCTTTCAAGGGATGATCAGAATATATAAAAAATAGGGAATTGCATATTTTGATGTCATAGTTTAATTTCTATAGATTAAGTAAAGTCTTGTCCACACGCATCACTGAAAGGGTTAGTTCACCCAAAAATGAAAATTCTGTCATTAATTACTCACCCTCATGTCGTTCCAAACCCATAAGACCTTCGTTCATCTTTGGAAGACAAATTAAGATATTTTTGATGAAATCCGAGAGCTTTCTGACCCTGCATAGGCAGAAATGCAACTGATATGTTCCCAGGCCCAAAAACGTAGCAAGGACATAGGTAAAATAGTCCATGTGACATCAGTGGTTCAACCGTAATTTTATGTCGCTACGAGAATACTTTTTGTGCACAAAGAAAACAAAAATAACTTTATTCAACAATTCTTCTCCCCGAGTTACTGTCTTCTGCCATTATCGAGAGTACAACGATGATTGCAAACATTTCAGTTTCATTGCTGTCTATGCAGGGTCAGAAAGCTCTCAGATTTCATCAAAAATATCTTAATTTGTGTTCCAACGATGAACAAAGGTCTTACTGGTTTGGAACAACATGAGGGTGAGTAAACAATTTTCATTTTTGGGTGAACTATCCCTTTAAATTTGTCCATACAATGAATTTATTATTTTTTGACGGCTGTTATAGAGACACAATTATAGAGAAACATATTCAAAATAGTGTAATTTTTGTACTCTCATTGCATTTAATTTACTCATTAAAAGTAAAGTGTATTTCAGAATTGTTCTGAAGCACTTGCAAAAAGCAAAGCCCTGTGGTGTTGCACTTATTTGGAATAAACTTTAATTATAAAGTCAGCAGACCTCACAATGCATATTTTCCTGCTGACAACTTTGAAGGTCTCCAGACTCATACACAGCATGTTTCTTTTCTGTCACCAGGCGCCTCCTATGCACCACAGGGTTATGGCGGCGAGTCCAAGCTCTACAGCCTAGAACATGGCCCTGAAAAACCTCAGGACAAGAAGAAAAAGAGCTCTAGTTTGGCCACGCTCAAGAGGAGATTCATTAAGCGACGCAAATCCAGTCGGTCTGCCGATCATGCGCGACAGATGCGCGAGCTCCTCTCGGGTTGGGACGTGCGCGACGTCAATGCCCTGGTGGAGGAGTATGAGGGCACGGCAGCACTCAAAGAGCTCAGTCTGCAGGCGGGCCTGGCCCGGCCCGAGGCTCGCACCCTGCAGCGTGATTTAGCCACCCTTTATCAGCACAAGTACTGCACTGATGTGGACCTGATCTTCCAGGATTCCTGCTTCCCAGCACACCGTGCCATTCTGGCTGCTCGCTGCCCGTTCTTCAAGACCCTGCTTTCGTCATCGCCGGGTTACGGGGCCGAGGTGTTGTTAGACGTTGGGACGGTGGGCATGGATGCACCCATGTTCTCCTCGTTGCTGCATTATCTCTATACAGGTGAGCTGGGCTCAGAGGACGCGAGGTTGCAGAATGTGGATGTGCTGGTCAGACTGAGCGAGGAGTTCGGTACGCCCAACTCCTTAGAAGCCGACATGCGAAACCTCTGTGAGCACATGCCGTATTTTGACTCGCTGCTGAGCTTCTCCTCAGACTCTGAGCTGGTGGAGGCTTTCGGAGCAGGTGGACCTGCTCCTAGTGGCGCAGGAGTTGGAAACGCAGGGGTGAACCATAGCTCGCCTGATGAGGAGCTAAGGGCCCACAAGGCCGTGCTCTCGGCACGCTCGCCCTTCTTCCGCAACCTGCTGCAACGACGCATCCGCTCGGGTGAGGAGATCACAGAGCGAACTCTGCAAACCCCTACCCGTATTATCCTCGACGAATCCATCATTCCGAAGAAATACGCCCATGTGGTCTTGCACTGCATGTACACCGATGCGGTGGACCTTTCTCTGGTGCTGCGCGGGAGCCCTTCCGAAGGCAGTCTGGGTGAAGTTCAGGCGCTGGTGGCTGGAAGAGGGTGCATGAGTCGGGCCGAAGAAGCCATGGAGCTCTACCACATCGCCCTCTTCTTGGAGTTCAGCATGCTGGCTCAGGGTAAGTCTTAGCATCTCTTTTATCCATTTTTTCTAGTTGTTGTCTTACGCTCCCCTTCCATTGCTCCCCAAGCTTTGTTTACTGCCTGATTAATTCACAGGCTGTCAAGGGAAGACTGGAGGAACAGGGTGGGGTTGCTGTAGTTTATTCGCCTCATGTTGGGAGTACTGTTTGTGAAAGATTCCCATATGTGAGTCGGTCTGCCGATCATGCGCGACAGATGCGCGAGCTCCTCTCGGGTTGGGACGTGCGCGACGTCAATGCCCTGGTGGAGGAGTATGAGGGCACGGCAGCCCTCAAAGAGCTCAGTCTGCAGGCGGGCCTAGCCCGCCCCGGGGCTCGCACCCTGCAGCGTGATTTAGCCACCCTTTATCAGCACAAGTACTGCACTGATGTGGACCTGATCTTCCAGGATTCCTGCTTCCCAGCACACCGTGCCATTCTGGCTGCTCGCTGCCCGTTCTTCAAGACCCTGCTTTCGTCATCGCCGGGTTACGGGGCCGAGGTGTTGTTAGACGTTGGGACGGTGGGCATGGATGCACCCATGTTCTCCTCGTTGCTGCATTATCTCTATACAGGTGAGCTGGGCTCAGAGGACGCGAGGTTGCAGAATGTGGATGTGCTGGTCAGACTGAGCGAGGAGTTCGGTACGCCCAACTCCTTAGAAGCCGACATGCGAAACCTCTGTGAGCACATGCCGTATTTTGACTCGCTGCTGAGCTTCTCCTCAGACTCTGAGCTGGTGGAGGCTTTCGGAGCAGGTGGACCTGCTCCTAGTGGCGCAGGAGTTGGAAACGCAGGGGTGAACCATAGCTCGCCTGATGAGGAGCTAAGGGCCCACAAGGCCGTGCTCTCGGCACGCTCGCCCTTCTTCCGCAACCTGCTGCAACGACGCATCCGCTCGGGTGAGGAGATCACAGAGCGAACTCTGCAAACCCCTACCCGTATTATCCTCGACGAATCCATCATTCCGAAGAAATACGCCCATGTGGTCTTGCACTGCATGTACACCGATGCGGTGGACCTTTCTCTGGTGCTGCGCGGGAGCCCTTCCGAAGGCAGTCTGGGTGAAGTTCAGGCGCTGGTGGCTGGAAGAGGGTGCATGAGTCGGGCCGAAGAGGCCATGGAGCTCTACCACATCGCCCTCTTCTTGGAGTTCAGCATGCTGGCTCAGGGTAAGTCTTAGCATCTCTTTTATCCATTTTTTCTAGTTGTTGTCTTACGCTCCCCTTCCATTGCTCCCCAAGCTTTGTTTACTGCCTGATTAATTCACAGGCTGTCAAGGGAAGACTGGAGGAACAGGGTGGGGTTGCTGTAGTTTATTCGCCTCATGTTGGGAGTACTGTTTGTGAAAGATTCCCATATGTGTCCATCAACAAAGCACTGCAACCTCTGCGATTCTCTTAATACCCTCATCCATTTCCTGCCTGTATTAATTTTATTTAGGAAGTTTCTAAGGGTTGCAGAATTGGTCCTGTTGTTAGAAGTGTGTACTTAATGACCAAAGTGACATAAATCTGCTTCAGGGTCGACTTTCTCTGAAGCAGCCCTACATTAAACACTGTTAACTTTCCTTTGTGTATTTATGGCAGGAGGTAGAAGAATAGGTCACCTCTCTCAAGTTGTGGTTTGTGTTCTGGATTCAAATGTCTTTTTTCTACTGTTGATGTGTGCTGCAGGATACAGCTATTGATTTGTATTTAATGTTCTGAGTCTGTAGTTTCTGAAAATGGCTGTTGATTGAGCCAGTTCATTTTCTTTATTTTTTTTTTAAGAAGGTATTATTACTTGTTGGTTGGGTTGTGTGATACAGCTAATGCATATCTTGAAATTTTGTATGCCTTTTAATGATATTTGATATAGGTTTCTCTATTACATTGTTTAACAGGTTTATACAGCCATTTGTTAAGTACATTCAATGTTTTATGCCAGAGGTAAAAGGTGGAAGAAAGGTGGATTTTTACTATGTACATAATTTTTCAGTAGATGAACCACAATATTATAAAGGATATCATCAAAAATTATTTTTTATCAATGCTCAAATATAACACTATGCAACCGTGGTAAATTATTAATAAAGTTAGAGACTGAAATATCAATGTTTCCTGCTACGTACAGATGTATGTATGCATGTTAAATTATTTACAAGCATTCATGTAGCAAATTATCTTAGCAGAGTTTAAATTATATAAACCATTCAGCACATAATTCAGATAAGGTATTATTATTAATAATAATAGTAATAACATTTCTTGTGTTTATTTGCCTCTTTATGAAAAATCACTTGTGTTCCTCATTTGTAAGTTGCTTTGGAATAAAAGCATCTGCTAAATTAATCAATTTAAATGTAAATGTAAAATATCTACACTCCTATTCAAACGTTTGAGGTCAGCAATTTTATTCACTAATTTTATAAATATTTGATCAGTGAAGACCTTTTTTAATGTTAAAGGTTTCTATTTTAAATAAATTTTTCCTTTAAATGTCTATCATTGCAGAGTCCTGTTAAGATGTATCAGTTTATTTTGTGGTTATTTATTACCACAAATATATGTTTTTGATCAAATAAATGCAGCCTTACCAACTCGAAACCTTTGAATGGTAGTATGCACCAATATGCATCAATATGACAATGCATTTTATTCTTAATAGATGAAAAGTTCCACTCCAGAACAGTTTTTGAGCATTTGTGAGTGAATTGAAGTAAAGGAAAATGAGGAGAGATTAGGAATCTACTCAAATTACATGGTCTTTGGGAAGCTTAATGATCAAATAAAAAGGCATTAAAATCATTGCGATATTCGGTGTTACTTGAATTTTATTTCGTCATCAAATTCTTCTGGCGATATAAAATTAGCCCTACTCACTGGAGGAAGAAATAACTTCTTTGAGTGGTATCTAAAGTAGTTCCTCACAGTAATTTACATCTAATTTATCACTGTAGCCTTGCCAAAACCTGCTGGTGTATCAGTTCTCAAAAAAGGTATTTTTGTCAGCAGCAAATTTGCAGCCTTGTGTCTTTTTATTTTTTTCCACGTTACACATTTACTAGTTTGTACACCCCTTGCCTGTGTGCTTTGTATCATCAGCCCCTATTGTGAATTGGCCAGTTTATCTCTATTTACTGCACAAAGTGATGGGCTTCAGCTGTGCTGTGCTAAGAGATGTTTTTCAGAGAGCCACCCGTCCTTCTGATTACTTCATCTGAATGAGAGTATCAAACCCTGCGCTCTAGAGCACAGGTCTGCAGCGTCAGTGTCAGCTGATCCTTATGACCCATTGGTCAGCTGTGGTTTGTAACAGATAGGGTTCTGATTCAGTCCTGTCAGCATAGCCCGATGGTGAGCTCAGGAGGACTTGTTTTCTTCCAGAACATGCTGTGCCACTTGCTACGTCAACCCTTGTTTTTTCCCACCGACATGAAACATACGGCAATTAAATACAAATTGCTTGTGCAACCCTGACTTTGATTTGATTTGAATTCATTTTTGACAAACTTAACTTACTAATGTCAGAAACCTTGTCAGCTGCTCCTCCTGGTAGTTTTTTAACAGCTATTTTTGTATGGTACAATGTAGTTACAATGTGTTGCATGAGATTTTCAACACACAAATCTTGTAAGTCCACTTTACTGACATAATTGTATAGGGGTGCTCCGATTGATCGGCTACCGATAACTATCGGCCGATAATTGCTTTGGGATGATTGATCGGCGGTCTCTAAAAATGCCGATCTCAAAAAAACTATCTCAAGCTGATGACGCTGCCATGAGAGGTTTGGCACGACATGCAGCGGCACCATCTCAGTCTCTGTCCGGCACGGGTGAAATAATTATAATGCTATATTTCTTCATTAAATAACTTATAAAGTAATTTGAAAACCTTGTGTGAGACGTAACTTCACAAACAGCGTGAGTGAATCATCGCGCGCTCTCTCAAAAATACGCAAATGTCTTCAAATCACCACACATCGCGTCAAGCAAGCTGCATGCTGCACAGTTGACACAGGAATTGTCACTTGCACAATCGAGGTAGTGTCACATCGTCACTAAAGTTTATAAATTGCATTACTTTTTAATTCTTGCTAGTGTTTAACCATTCAGCGCTCGCGCGCTCTCCTGAAGACCGTGCGCTCATGCACACTCGCAGCGCACATACATAATGCCAGGTTCACAATACTCAGTTTGCAGTGCGTATGCGGTGCGTATTTTTTCTGCGCTCATGTTAACGGATTAAAGCATTCACTGCACACGGTTGCGGTCCGGCAGTGCGTCTGCGGCAGTGCAGACTCCGAGATCGCTTCCACACCGAGTCTATTGCTGCGCTGCAAGCGCTGAATTAAAGTAACAGCGCATTTAAAAAGAAGGCTTTAAAAAGATCGGTATCTGTGATCGGTATCGGCAGATACTGCTTTTTGTGATCGGTGATCGGCCTCAAAAATCCTGATCGGAGCACCCCTATCATTGTATTTGCTTGTTTGTTTTGTTAGGGCTAGTCAGGCACTCCGTCACTCAAAGAAAGCCCTAGATGGACTACTCAGCACTTAACACACGCAATCATTGAGGTCACTTCAGTACATGCGTGTTGATATCCTCCGGTGGGAGAGAAATGTGTCAGTGACCTCTAGGAAATGGAGACACAGCAGTCATTTAACACCCAGTCAGCAGCTGGCCAGTGGTTGGTACATGGCAAAGATAATTAATGTGCTGACCAGGCAGACTCACGTTGATAAAAAGCCACCCATTGGTCTGGAACCGACTTTGTTCCACAGAGGAAAATTACTCTTGTTCACACTAAACTGCAGGAAATCAGCTCTTTGTTAAACCTAAGCTGTGAACTTAAAGATGACGTATGGTAGGGATACACAGACACCAATAACTGTTGTGTATGAAGAAAACTACAATGTACGAGTTTCCATGAATGTCCTTTCTCACAAGTTTGGTTTGAAAGTTGGAAAAATAGACACTTTCACAGAGAAACGACAGACAGACTACAGACTTT